TCCGGACGCGCAGGCTCAGCGGCCATGGCTCACGGGCCCAGCCGCTCTGCGGCATGTGGGATCCTCCCGGACCGGGACACGAACCCGTGTCCCCTGCATCGGCAGGCAGACTCTCAACCATTGCGCCACCAGGGAAGCCCGAGAGCATTCTTTTTAATCAAATCTGGTGTGTGGTGCTGGTGATTTATGACCTTGTTTCCTCACCTGAGCGGATGTCTAAGCTCTTACCTACCCAACTGAAATGGAGACATTCTCGGTTCCTCTGCTGAACACACTCAGCATCACCTCTATTTCTATACTTACCTAGATAGTCAGATACAAGATAGATTTTTAAAAACTAAATTTGTTATGTACTGCAAGGAACAAAAAAGTGTGCATACAGATCTCTGACCTCAAGTTGCTTACAATCTAGATGAGAAAAGATAATATTTGTAAAGATTATAATAACAATTTTTAAAAAACAGTTTTTTGTTTTTTTTTTTTGGCCTCACTGCGCGGCTTGTGGTATCTCAGTTCCCCAACCAGGGATTGAACCCGTGCCCCCCTGCAGTGGAAGCGCGAAGTCCTAACCACTGGACGGCCAGGGATTTCCCAAAAAAACCTGTTAACACATGAAACAGGTATTATTATTTTCTCTCCTTTATAAACAGCAAACTGAGGCCCAGAGAGATTAAGTCATTTGCCGAAGGTCACACAGGTAGCAAAATGCAGTCGGTTTACTCTCTGTCCACGCCCTTAACCACAGTCTGTACTTAAATTAATAGAAAAAGATATATATATACTGAAATGTCAAAATACATGGCATTGACCAAAAAATCTCCTGGGAAGCCAGTATGGGTAGTGATGTCAGTTTCCTGCTGTAACATTATAGCCTAAATGTGGAAGAAAAGATTTTATGGCCCATTTCACATTAAGGTTCAGCTATTAGAAAAAGCCTTCAGACATCAGAGCATTTAAGTATAGTTTATCACTGCCCATGGGGTTAAGTCAGCCAAGCAGGGTGTTTAAGGTGGGCTCCTTCTCAGCCTGGAGTGGGAACGGCTACACAGGAGACGGAGCAGCAGCTGGTTATCAATCTGGCTTCACTACTTAGTTTCAAGTTGTATGTATTCATGCCATTTTTTATTATTAGTTTTTAAATCTACATGCAGTAAATTGGCTCTGTCTGTGTGTGTAGAACCTTGAGTCTAACAAATGTCTAGATTCCTACAGACAGTCCACAATCAGGATAGGGAAGGGTTCCCTCAGCCCCTGAAGCCTCCCTGGCAGTCAGCCCCTCTGCCCACCCCTAGCCTGTGACAACCGCTGATCTGCTCTCTGGCCCTACAGTTTTGTCTTTTCCACATGTCATATAAACGGAACCATAAGACATGAGCTTCTGAGGCTGGCTTCTCTGACCTGGCATGATTAGTGCATCTGAGGTTCATCCAAGTTGTTGCAGGTTTCAGTAGCTCAGTCTTCTTCACTGCCAAGTAGTGTTCTAATACATGGATGTATTTATTTACATAAATACGTGCTTGTTTATTCGTTCTGTGGATAATCCGTGCTGTTTCTAGTTTTTGGTGATGGCAAATAAAGTTGCCATAAACATTCATAGCCAGGCTTTTGTGTGAATTTAAATTTGCATTTCTCTAGGGTAAATACCTAGGAACGGGTAAGTGTATATTTAACCTTATAAGAAACAGCCAAACTGCTTTCCTGAGAGGCTGCACCATTTTGCATTCCCACCAGGAGCACACGAGCATTCCAGCTGCTGCTCAGTCTGTAACTTGTCTTTTTAAATTCTCTTAATAGTGTTTCTCACAGAGCAATAGTTTCTAACTTTGATGAAGTGCGATTTACCGACTTCTTTTATGAACTGTTTTTGGTATCATATCTAAAAACTCTTTGCTTTACCAATGGTCTCCAAAGTTTTCCCTTTTTTGTCCTAAAAGTTTTATAGTTTTCTGTTTTACATTTTTATCTATGATGCATCTTGAGTTAATTTTTACAAGGTGTAAGGCTTAGGTCAAGGTTCTCTTTTTCGCATTCAATATCCAACTGTTCCAATACCATTTATTGTAAGGACTATTCTTCCTCCATTGAACTGACTTTGTATTTTGTCAAAAATCATTTGCCCACATATATTTGTGGCTCTGTTTCTGGACTCTACTCTGTTCTGTTAATCTAGATGTCTCTTCACCAATTCCACACTTTCCTGTAGCTTTATAGTAGCTCTTAAAGCCAAGCAGTACAAGTCTTTCAAATTTACTCTTTTCCAAAATTGCTTTGGCTATTCCAGTTCCTTTCCCTTTCCATATAAATTTTTAAAGTGACTTGTCTAAATCTACAAAATATCCTGCTGGGATTTTTATTTAAATTGTGTTAAATGTATAGATTGATTTGAGACAAACTGACATTTTCCGGTATTGAGTCTTTGCGTTCATGAGCATGGTATGTCTCCTCATTTGTTTTGTTCTTTGAAATATGGGTTTCTCAAATTCAGATATATCCGTATGAACGTGCGATTGTAAGGTACACTCTGAGGCCAAAATTAAATACTTCTTTTCTTTTGAGAGCCCTGTAAAAGGCTCTGTGTGGCCTCCAGACTTGGAATTCAATCATGTTGCCACTGACAGGAAAATACCTCCTGCAATTTTCTAAGCCACAGTCTTCTTTTTTTTTTTAAATTGCTTTCATTGAGGTATAATTTCCATACAGTGAAATGTATACATTTTAAATGTTCAGGTAGATGACCCGTGACAAATGACTAGAGCCTGTAACTACTCCCCAATTAACAGAGTCCTGCAAAGTGCCTCCTGTCCCTAAAGTTCCCTCCTGTCCCTGCAAAGCTCCATCCTGTTCCTAGAGTTCCCTCCTGTCCCTGCAAAGTCCCCTCCTGTCCCTGGAAAGTTCCCTCCAGTCCCTACAAAGTTCCCTCCTGTCCCTGCAAAGTCCCCTCCTGTCCCTAGAGTTCCCTCCTGTCCCTGGAAAGTTCCCTCCTGTTCCTACAAAGCTCCCTCCTGTCCCTACAAAGCTCCCTCCTGTCCCTGGAAAGTTCCCTCCTGTTCCTACAAAGCTCCCTCCTGTCCCTGCAAAGTCCCCTCCTGTCCCTGCAAAGTCCCCTCCTGTCCCTAAAGTTCCCTCTTGTCCCTTGTGCCCCTTTGCAGTCGGTCTCCAGCAACCAGTGGTTTCTCCCACTGTGGATTACCGTTCCCTGGAATCACGCAGTATGTACTCCTTTGTGTCTGGCTTCTCCCGGTACTTCTCCTCTTCCCTGCTAATTCGTTTTCTATTGTATGAATAGACCATAATTTGGTTATCCATTCGCTTGTTAATGAGCATGCCGGTTGTTTCTGTTTTTTGCCTAGTATGACTGACCAATTTGTGTACAAGTCTTTTTATTTCTCTTGGATAAATACCTAAGAGTGGAATTAATGGGCCACATGGTAAATGTTTGCCTAACCTTACAGGAAACTGCTCAACTAACTTCCCCCATGGCTGTACCAGTTTTTATTTCACCATAAATATATGAGAATTCCAGTTATCACACTTGTAATCTAGTCTTTCTACCTTTAGCCATTCTTGAGGGAGGAAGTGCTACCTGACTGTGGTGTTGATCTGTATAATCTCATGTTTCTCAGCAGGCAGTTACCTTCCATTAGCCATGGCAACTAGGACCTCACTGTCACCTGGGTCGCAAGTTACCAAGGAAAAGTTTGAGCCAGAAAGCCGTCAGGAGCCACAAGCCAAGGACTGGCCTGATCTCGGTGTGCGTCCCTCTGTCAGTCAGGATCACCGTGGACGGCAGCGAGGGCTCAGCAGTCAGAGCACTCTTGCAGATCAGAAGAACGGCAAAGCCCTTACCTGCTATCTTTCTCCGCATCCACGGACACACACAGAGCCACACGAAGAGGGCGAACAGCAGCGCGACCCCGAAGGAGATGAGCACAATCGCCCACATGGGAAGGACCAGGCCCAGCACTGGGGATAAAGGGGACACTTCTCAAATGTTGGGCATCACGTCCACATACCTGCCGTTCCCCAAACCTGAAACGAACCACCTGGATTCCGTGTTTAATAAAACTCTCAACCAAAAAAGATGTGCTAGGCTTTCAGGGCGTACAAAGCTGTGTGTTTAAGACACACAGCTTTGCAAATATGTGGTTAAATCAGTAAGTAACCTAATTATTAAAAATCGACCAACTTGGCACAAACGGCATATTAAGTTGGGAATAAACCCGTTTACAGTATTATCTCAATATCTAAATTCCTGAGTGGACAAACAGGGGTAACAAAGGGTCCGTCTTCCCTCCTAGTGCCCCCGCCCCCAGGCAGTGTGAAGCCCAGGGCTGCAGCAGGCACAGCAAGGCGGGCAGCTGCCTCTTTGGTTTCTCAATAGTCAGCAGCCCGGCTTTAAATGGACATGACACTCAGATCACACACACGAACCTTTTTTAACGTCAGATTAAATTGAGAAACAGCAGACACAGGAAGAGTCTGCTGCCCCCTTCATAAGTGCCTGAAAGCAGGGCATAAATTTCTTGTGAGAAACGTGCCTTCCTTGTTCCAGGAAGAGCAAAGTGACCCTCACCACTGGAAACAAGGCACCAATACCAAGATAAGTCTGCACAAACAGACCTTGCTAAAATAACCGTTCTATTCTGTTTCCTCCTGTATTTCCTAGTCACTTTCCATAATTGATCACCCTTTGTCAAAATGGTATATAAGTCCCAAAGTCTAACTGCTTCTTTGCGTGTTCGTGTCTTTTCTGTGAAGGCCTCCATATGCATAAATCAACCCTTTCTACTGTTAAAAATAAAATAAAATTAAAACTTAGATAGCAAAGTTTTTTAAAAGGACACTGACTTTGAAACTCAACTCCTCTTTGAAGTGTCAACTCATGGAATTACAACATAGAAAAACTTTTCATTACTATCCGGTCCAGCACACGAAGTGGCCATTCCATCAGCCAGTGAAAGTACGGAGGGTGGAGAAGCATCAGGCTTCCTAGCCCCGTGGGCCCCAGAGCCCAGCTCTCCCGGCTGCACAGGCGTGACCCACACATGCTCACAGGTGCACCCTTGCACAGGCACAAAGATATAGGCTCAGGAACACTCACTACAGCATTATTTGTAATGGGAAGAATTTGCAAGACGACTGATACACACATCATTCCATGGAAATGTTGTCAGTGTGGTGCAGAGCGTAAAAATGAGGTCGGTCTAAACGTACTCATAAGGAAAGAGGCCCGCGATCTAGTTAAGTAAGAAAGGCCATCTGGATCATGGTGTGTGTACCATGACCCAATTTATGTTTAGAAGAGAAAACAACCCCACACATACACTCCTACCATATGTGTGAGTAGACAGAAAAAGTTCTGGAAAGAATCAGTGGTTCCTCCTGTGGAGAGATGAGAAATTGGAGGGGGCTCTCCCTTCTCACTACATATCCTTTTGTACTGTTAACTTTGAAAATTTATAATGGGCACACACTTTTGTAAATTGTTAAACTGTTTTTCAAAGTTTGAAAGGAGTGAACTATTTAAACCTTTGCTCTTTAACAAATCTCTAATGATACAGGCTTTGTTAGTTACACTGTTAGCCATTCTGTACATACAAACCAACTTACAGTTACTCAGGTAAGGTATTATTAGACATTTTGGTAATGGTAAGATGGAGGACAGGTAGTTAATACTCTAACTGGGGAGTCAGAATTAACGTATATAAATATAAAAAGCAAAAAACCAAGATCACCCAGCCTTAGTACAGCGGAGGGGCCGCTGGTGGCAGCAGACACTCAGCCGTCAGGCCGCTCCGCCCTCCAACGCCCGATTACACCAGAAAGCGTAAGGCCCCGTGCAGGGCTGCACTGAGGCACCGGGCAGCCCTGCTCCAGCCCCGGCTGTGGCCTCGGACCCGAGGCTTGGAACTGCTTGTAGAACCACTCAGGCTGACCTCACCGGCCACGCTCACGGCCACGGCTTCCTGGGTCTGCTTCATGTCTCCGTGCCAGTGTCTGATACATGTGGTAAAAGACGACTCCAAAGCTGTCTCTTGCTAACCGAGTGGCAACTGTTAATTACCAACATCAAACTGACGAACATCAACACCAACTACAGCTTAGAAACACTTGGCTTTTGAAGAGGTTTCACGGTTTCCTTGGTGGTTCCTGGTTCCGTTGATGATAAAATTGTTACTTGGGCTACTTTTGGCTTCACTGCGTTAACTTGATCTAAGACAGGCGAGCTCTGGGTACTCTGGGGAGGGGATGCAGTTTGGGAGCTGGATATAGGAATATTTAAAAGAGTGAATACTTTTGCCCCCAGGCCCCGTTTGCTTCCTTCCCTGCGGAGCAGAGCTCACGACAAGGCAGGGCAGGGCTGCTCTACGGGCGCCTTCCAGGCCCGTCTCCACGCTCTCCGCGGAGGTCACGTGAGTTCTGGAGGGTGTCAGGACCCACATCCGAAAGGGAGGAACTGAGGCCGGCTACACGACTTCTGATGCTTCTCTTAGATGATAAGCCACAGTGTCACCTGACCCTTGAACCTTTACCATCACAACTACCTTTGCCATCGGTTTGGCCTGGGAAGTGGCCAAGAAGGTCCGAAGCCACCCTCTGAGTCACAAGAACTGGACGGGAGGTCAGGGGCTCCACACATCACTGAGGGTGGAAGGGGTGGGAGACAGAGGGAAAAACCAAGGGTGTGAAGCACAGCAAAGGAACCAGGAAAGCGGGGGCAGTCATCCGTGGTGAGTAAGAGAGGAGAGAGGAATAGAACGGGGACAGGACTTGGGTCTTACCAAATTATTATGCCAATTTAGTAAATTAACAGAGCATCAGAAGTGCACAGGATTGACGTACATACAAAACAGAAACAGACTCACAGGCACAGAAAACAAACATGGTTACAAAGGGGAAAGTGGGGGGATAAATTAGGAGTTTGGGGATTAACAAATACACACTACAATATATAAATAAGGATCTACTGTAGAGCACAGGGAACTATACTCAGTATTTTGAAATAACCTATAAGGTTAAACCTTACAGTAAAAGAACCTGAAAAAGAATATGTGTGTGTGTGTGTGTGTGTGTGTGTGTGTGTGTGTGTGTATATATATATATATATATATATATATATATATATATAAAACTGACACCTGAAACTGTACACGTGGAAAAAAAAAAAGCGCACCAGGATTTACTTTTAAAGCCTGCATATAAGAAATGCAGACTGACAGTTACGGGATGCAGCTCTAAACTGTACTAAATACATAAAATCAACTTTCATGGATAAAAAAACAATTAAATACAAAAATCCAGCACGGGGCTTCCCTGGTGGCGCAGTGGTTGAGAGTCCGCCTGCCGATGCAGGGGACACGGGTTCGTGCCCCGGTCCGGGAGGATCCCACATGCCGCGGAGCGGCTGCGCCCGTGAGCCATGGCCGCTGAGCCTGCGCGTCCGGAGCCTGTGCTCCGCAGCGGGAGAGGCCACAAGAGTGCGAAGCCCACGTACCGCAAAAAAAAAAAAAAAAAAATTCAGCACGGAAAAGCCTTTGAATCAACGTACCTCCAGGGGAAAACTTTTTTTCTTCTGAAAATTCAAGGTTGACCTTTTCACAACAAAATTTTTGACAAAAATACTTCGCACTGATCAGCCTTCCTGCGAGGATCTCAAATTGTTTTCCGGTAACAGCACTCCAGAGGGCACTGAGGCCCGGCGCCGTCATCCCGGGGAAGGCGAAGTAGGACACGGCTTGCATTGCTCCGGTCCCCGCGGCCAGGAGCGGCTGCCAGGAGCCCACACTGGGCGCTCGCAAGCCCAGGCCTCACTCCAGCCCCTAAATGGCCTTTCATCTCAAGCTCTTTCATTTTCTGAACAGCAAAGATATGATGAATAGTGATTTAGCTCTAACCACAAGCATCCTTGCAACTCTCTCCCAAACCCCCGAAGATCAGGATATCCAAGTGACATGAGGAAAAGCGGAGAACGTTTTAGAAACACAGTCTTCTGGAGTCATTATTACTTTGCTACATCTCTTGTTTTTCATATATAACAATCATTGTTAGAATCTAATAAAATAAATTAAGCTTCTGTAAAACCAGGAAGGCTTTTTAGCCCATATTAGTTCCCTTACACTACTCATCAGCCTCTCCTGCACCCTCTCTTCTCTCTCTCTCGGGTTTAATTTTAAAAATAATAATATGGTTATAAAAAGATCATCCATAGATAATCATCAAGGACCTACTCTACAGCACAGGGAACTCTACTCAATACTCTGTAATGACATATATGGCAAAAGAATCTGAAAAAGAATAGATATATATATGTATAACTGAATCACTGTGCTGTACACCTGAAACTAGCATAGCATTGTAAATCAACTATACTTCAATATAAAATTAAAAATAAAAATATCAGCTGTATAAAACCGTATCACGTACAACTGTGGAACTTCCTCGTCGTCCATCCTTCCGGAACCCACTTCCCAGAGTAACACTGTTAACTATTTGGTGTGTATCTTTTCAGGCATTTTCTAGACATAAACATATGGTGCAGAGTGTTTGTGAGAATTTTTTTTTCTTTTCCTTAAATTTAATAGATGTAAATCACACTGTATATATTCTTCTGTGCCTTCATTTCTCACATAACAATATATTATGGACATCTTTCCACAGTAACACGCACACACAGACACACGTCTGCCTCATTTGTAGAATTACTTTTTACTAGTCCTCCCTTCCCTGATAAATGAATTTTCTAGTTTTTGTTTTGTTTTAGATCAACACGCTCAAGCATTAGAGGAGCTCCCTATGTGAAAGGAATCCTGGGGTAACTTTAAGAAAATGAAGCATTGGGCTTCCCTGGTGGCAGAGTGGGGGCTGCCCTGGTGGCGCAGTGGTTGAGAGTCCGCCTGCGGATGCAGGGGACATGGGTTCGTGCCCCGGTCCGCGAAGATCCCACATGCCGCGGAGCGCCTGGGCCCGTGAGCCATGGCCGCTGAGCCTGCGCGTCCGGAGCCTGTGCTCCGCAACGGGAGAGGCCACAACAGTGAGAGGCCCGTGAACCGCAAAAAAAAAAAAAAAAGAAAGAAAGAAAATGAAGCATTATTTTGAAATTCAAAAATGCTATTTCCTAATTTGTCCTATAGGTGGGATTTTTTTTTTATGCATATGGTACCAGCTTTCTCAAACCAGGGTTCATTTATAATAATTCTGAGAAGGAAGTGAGTTTAAATCACTCTGTTCTGAATCAAGCTCTCAGTGATACTGGAGAATCTTCTCAGCCCAGGCCTTCCCCACCCAGGGCCCTGGGCTGGGAATCACTGAAGCTCCAACGCCCAGCTTCTCTACAGCCCAGAACATTCTCTACAGCTAACACGGAACACAGAGGTCCTCTGGGAACAAAGCTCCTTCTCCCGAGTCAGTGGGGACCTGAGGGGTGGCTGATGCTCTGGTTCCCTCGAGGGGGCTGGACCAGAAGAGCTGCCACTGGAGGAGGAGGAGATGGAGGAGAAGGGGGAGGGGAGGGAGGAGGAGGAGGAGGGGGAGGAGAAGAGGGAGGGAGGAGGAGGAGGAAGAGGAGATGTAGGAGGAGGGAGAGGGAGGAGGAGAGGGAGGGGGAGGAGAGGAGGAGAGGGAGGAGGGGGGGGGGGGGGAGGGGGAGGAAGAGGAGATGGAGGAGGAGGGGGAGACAGCCCCATCTCAGGTGCAGACCACTCTGGGGAAGCCAGAAACCAGGCCTGGTTAAGTCTGAGAATTCGTCTGCTAGTAAGGAGTGAGCAAAGGTTGCTAGCTAGAGCTTTTGAAGAGCACCCCTTACATGAGAACCGTGATAAGGCAGCAGTGTTTACGGTAAAAGGTTATGATAAAGGGGTGGTGAGGGCAGGGGTCCTCTAAATGCACATGCATCCGATCACCCAGGGTCTCCCTGGTAAACACAGACTGCTGGTCTGCATTTCTGGTGCATCGGGTCTAGGGCTGAGCCTGAGAATCTGCATTTTTGGCAAGTGTCCATGTGACGCTGATGCCGCCGGTCTAGGGACCACACTTTGACTTAGAAAGCTTCGTTAGCTGATCTGCTCTGACGCCTCAAAGCCGTGTGCCATGAACCTCAGCGTTTGTTCTTTAAATGCTAAACAAAAAACAGGTCCTGTACAGCTGAAGACTTTCCTTAAAAATAAACTTCAGGCTTCTATCTAAGCCAACCCAAGTGAGTACTTTATTTTCCTCAAGTTATTTTTGCTGCTTGCAAATTATTTTTTAAAGGACAAAAATGCAAAGACAATTTTTTAAAGTGCAACTCAGTTTCCGAAGGATGACTTTTGAGAAAAGTCATGTCAAACGCAAAGTAAAACAAATCTAGCTAGGCTCAAGATATAAACAACTTCAAAATAACTAGAGAGGAGGAGCAGAGGAAGGCAAACCAGAACCCTGTAACTCAACAGCCCACGGTCCCCACTGAATTCACGTCCATCTAGAAAAAGGCTACTTATCAGAATCTCTGAAAGTTGAAACGGGGTAAGGTGAATGCTGCCACTCTTTTTTGTTAGCAAACTTTTCATTCTTTCCTTTTATCTCTGGGGCCTATGTGTTGAAGGGAAGCGTTCTAAGAAAGAAAAGGACTAGCAAGAATAAATTCCCACAGGCAGAAAGGCAGGCAAATTCTAAAAGGGGCAGAGGACCGAGTCACTGGGGAAGTGATTCTTCCCAGCCCAACCCTATCCCCAACTATGACGCCACAGCTACAGATGACCATAGGATGGAATTAATGTCTAGTTTTAACCTTAGACGTTTAAATAAAAATAGGATTTAGACTCACCTATTGAACATCCCATAAACACTCCCCAGGAGCCAAGACATTAGCAAAGTCCTTTTCTGACTGAGTGTATTCTGATCATCATTAACAGTGACATTAGGTACCAGGCACTAGATACTGCGTGTCTTACCCCCGCCCCATCGTGTGTCAGAAGAATGTCATATAACTGGGGCTCGGGACCAGGCTGCCCACTTAACGTCTGCTTCTGCACCTGACTAGTTATATGACCTTGGGCACTCAGTCAGCATCACTGTGCCTGCTGCCCACCTGGCAGGGGGCGTTAGCAATATTACCAATTTCCCAGTGGAGTTCAGAGGACACAAAGGATTAATTCGTGTAAAACTCAGCTCAGTAAAAGCGTTTATTATTTATTTTTCACAACTTCTCTATGAAGTATTTATATTATCCTTAGTTGCCTCATCCATTATCTAGTTTCATTTTCTCTAGAATTTTTTTTTTTTTTTTGGTACGCGGGCCTCTCACTCTTGTGGCCTCTCCCGTTGCGGAGCACAGGCTCCGGACGCGCAGGCTCAGCGGCCATGGCTCACGGGCCCAGCCGCTCCGCGGCATGTGGGATCTTCCCGGACGGGGGCACGAACCCGCGTCCCCTGCATCAGCAGGCAGACTCTCAACAACTGCGCCACCAGGGAAGCCCTTCTCTAGAATTTAGTCCCTTAGTAATCTGATTCTTCTAGCAAATTTGCAATAAAACTGCAGCAAAAGATGAGAAAAACAAGTGATGGAAAAAATAGGTAAGTATGGGAAAAGTCAAATTTTAATAAAAATCATACAGTTGTGGTTTTCTGACATTCAGACCAAGAACCAGGGAGCAAGAAGAATAGAGGCTAGGAAAAAAAAAATGCAGAAACAGAACTAAATGGTTGTCATTTACACCAATTCCCACTTCCAGGACTCGCACCCCGGCCTTCGTTTGTTTAATCTCTTAAATCACTAGCCCGGGAGGTGTCTGGCTATTGACGGCTGGTAGGCTTTTTGTTCCGTTACCCTGGGCTCTGAGAGCCTGCACAGAACTAAGAACAAGGGCTCAGGTGGACAAGACATCTCTCTGCTACCGCTGACTTCCCACCTGGCGCTCCGGGCCCCGCCCAGCACCACATGGAAGCTTCCTGAGATTCACAGACTTGGGGTGGGGTGAGCTTCAACTTCATGGGACGCAACTGCTTTCACTCTGCCTCTGTGTTTTTGTTATGGATCATGAAAACAGTCTGTGACAAACACACTTCATATTCCGTGAATGATCAAGCCCAAAGGGCCGTCAGGCCGCTGTCATCTGAGGCCAGGGTTTCATCTCCCTCCAGCTCACCGTGACGTGCAGCCTTGTGCTTTTCAGATTACTTAGAGCCGCTGTGGTGCTTCACGCCCCCTCCCTTCACCCAGAGTCTGAAAGCCCAGCACACAAACATAGAATTAGGTACGGCTATACAATCCGAGAAAAACTGCCTTGAGAAAACCCGGTTGGAGAAATTAATAAGGATTTCCCCTGTTTGGGAAGAGGGCGCTTTCAACTGTAATACGACACACCACTTAGCAGAAGCTTTATCTTTTGAACAGAGAGAGGGGGGTTTTAATCAGATATGGCCCGTAACTTCGTAACTGAATCTTAATCCTTAAAGGACATTAACAAGAAGGAAAACGACACACACAAACATCTCTGCTCACTCTGGCCATCCCACAGCAATGGACGTGTTCAGGATCTAGCTGTAAGAGGCACATCTCACAGAGGGGAATGGGGGACCCTCTCTACCAAGATACGCATGGAAATGGTGAGTGAGAAGAGTTAACCACCTCCTCCACACGGGAATGTTATGCAAATGACAGTACTGTAGTAAGTTCTTCTTTACCCACCGAAAACGTAAAAGAAAGGAACTTTTAACCCTGCTCCACCCCAAATCCTTGAAAAGAAAGAACAAAAGACATCGGAATGGGAAGAAAAGGAGCAATTCTGAAAAGAAAGTCATCACTGGTTCCAGTATCTGAAACGCAGAACCAGAATGGCAGGGCTCTAGTCCCTGGACTCACAGGTTTGAAGAGTTCCGGGGGGGTTAGATGTTTGTGCTGTGGACCACGTGACAGCCCCGCCCCGGACTGTCCCAAGGTGGTGACCTACTGCTTAAGCGAGCTCCCCCCTGCCTCCAGGGGCCCCCCCAGCTCAGGGAGGCTCAGGCTGTCCGATCATGTTCTGCGACTCAGCACCAGGAATCTGAGGCACAAGGGGGATTTCAATTTTCTTTTTTTAACCTGAAGTCTGTTGCCTGTGTACTTCACATCTCTCTTGAGTATTTAAAACAAGTAAAGGCATCTCCTACTCTTTTCACTGCTCCGTAATGAGTAATGATTGTGAGTAGTGCTTCTGACTGTTGGCCAACAAATCCACCACCGCCGCTGGACTCTGCCACCACCTGCTGGCCGTGACCTTCCGAGGGCTCTTACCTGGGGCTCCTGTGTACATGATGGAAAACACATTGATCGCGATGGTAGCCGCATAGAACACGGGAAGCGCCCGGAGGCCGTTGGGAACGGGGTCCTCCTGTGGGGTAAGGAGATAAGGGGGCAGGTCAGGACTCCAGGGGCATCTGCAGGCAGCACAGGCAAAATGACACAAGTCATTTTTCCGGGAAAGCCCTGTCCCTGCCGCGGGCTGTGTGCACCTCCAGACCCGGGGCTGACCTGGGCTGACCCTCCTCCTACACGAGTGCTGTGGCAAGGGGCCCTCGATGGTGACCAGCAGACGCATTAATGCGCTGGGATCACATGAGGTGGTGACAGATGTGGGGACAGAGAAGGGCTGTTGGTGAGGCCAGCTTCTGGGACTAAAGCCCTGACCCGGAGCACTCACTATTCTAGCTACATTCACATTGGCCCAAAAATCCACTTTCAGCAAATATTTTGAGGCCTGACCCTCTGAGGATGCCCTGAGAAAGTCAAATGACTTCAACACCACAGCATTACTACTAGATTTTATGGTACTCCATGACACGATCCGGGTTTGCTGTGCTGAAATACAGGACCACGTGCTGTGACTTTCAGAATCCTTTCACGAGGTAGAGCATTCCACCTTCAACTATTAAAAAGTGAAAAGAACTGTGGGTTCTTTGTCTAAGAAAACATTTTTTTACAACCTTAGGCTTCTGGTACAACACTTCCGAAATCTAATATTTCAGCGAGAACAGTACTGCATGTGTTTTAGGCAAAGTCACACCTGGGAGAATATTCGAAATTTCGAGTTTACAGAGGAAAAATATAGAGTTTGAGGGTTTAGATCTACAGAGGATTTTGAAGCAAAAATATGAACCGGGAACTCCTCGACGCAGAACTGGCACATAGGTGTTGCTTAAATAATTCAAACACGGGCTAATTTCTGATGACCACGTAAGACACTCTTGTACATTGGTATGAGTCTATGACCCACCCATGATAAAAGGAAAATTAGGTCTAAGGCTTGATGCGAGCTACAGAAGTCAGGATAAGTACAGACCATCTCAGTTCCTAGTTGACAGTTCCTACTGTCAAATGCAAACGTGTGCAAATCCAGTACGTTTGCAGAACTGTAAACTCATCAAGACCCCGCCTGCCATGTCTCAAGCGGCCACCAGCACTTGTCAGGAGGCCTGAGGTGAATGGAAGTGCGATGTCAGGAAAGGGAGAGCTGGGGTGGAAGGTGATTCAGCCGCATGGGAGCCCCAGCCACAGTCACAGGAGGGCAGGTGAGGAACAGGTACAAAGGGATGGGCAGGAGCCTGGGACGAGGCACATCACCTTCCGATCTGCCGTGGACCTGGGACAGGAACCCAGGCTGAACTGAAAACGAAACGTTGAGATGCTCACATGCCTACTGCCTCCGCTTCCAAAATGCTGTTTTCTGGGGGATGACGGCTGCTACAGAAAGACTCCCAACCAGTAACTCCTGAAGGCGTAAAGTCTTCAGTTTGCGTGTTGTAACTGAATCACCTTATGTTTTCTCAAATAACCTATTCTTTTTTTTTTTTTTTTTTTTTTTTTGCGGTACGCGGGCCTCTCACTGTTGTGGCCTCTCCTGTTGCAGAGCACAGGCTCTGGATGCACAGGCTCAGTGGCCATGGCTCACGAGCCCAGCCGCTCCGCGGCATGTGGGATCCTCCCGGACTGGGGCACGAACCCGTGTCCCCTGCATCGGCAGGCGGACTCTCGACCACTGCACCACCAGGGAAGCCCCAGATAACCTATTCTTAAAATGCAAATGGCAGCTGTCTCATCGAGACCCGTCTCCGTTCCTCCTCCTGTCTCGATCCCTCCCTCCCTCCTTCCTTTCCTTCCTTCTCTGCACCCATCACCTGCCCCCCATCCAAGCAGCCATCCCTCTCTCTTAACAGATGTTCAACCGGTGTCTCTGAAGGGCCTAAGCAGCGCTGGGCGCCGTCTATGCATGCAAAGAGACAGTCATGGTTTCTACTCTCACAGATCTTACGGTCAAATAGCAAACAGGGGGCCAAGCAGGAGATAAATCGCTGCACAACGACGCGAGTGCAATGATAAGAAGGCAGTGAGCGTGTGGGGATACAGAGCGGAGGCTGGGGCAGGAGAACCTGGGAAGTAACTCCTGGTGGGGGGCAGATGACGGGGGTGCAGGGGGGGCAAGAGTGGGTGGCACCTTCCAAGATGTTACTGGGTCCTAGGACAGCTGGACCCCGGAGAAGGGCTGGTGAGTTTGTGACCATCCAAGAGACTGAGCCCGCCTAGAAGAAGAGCTGTGTCTTCAAGCAAGGAGACGGCTGAAGGCAGGCGTGTCCCGATGTGCTCGCGTGTGCGGAGCAGCCAAAGGCAAGCAGCAGGGCTTATGAAACGCAACAGCCCCTTGACGGGCAAATCGAAACGTAACCAAGGTTTTTTTTGTTTCTTGCCGAGAATACTGATCTCAGTAAGCTTCCATTTTCATCTCATTTTATTTTTGATAAAAATGTACCCACACACCCCCCGTCCCCGTAGGTGTTATTTCCTTCTTTTTACCCTATCCTCAAGGATAGGAAGAAAACCAGTGTCTGAAGCTTCCTTTCTCCATTAAAAAACAGAAAACACCTTACACTTGCGTAAAGAAATTCTCCAGCTGTTTTTAATGCTAGTTAATTTCAAAATCGTAACACTATCTTCCTCTGTTCTGTTTACTGTTCACAAAATAATTATCTTTCCTTTTTTGAGGCGTGAGCACACAGTGCCCAAGAATGCTGGCCAATGAACTAAGACATATGGCAAGACACCTCATGTCCAGTGCTGGTTCTGGGGGAGCCCCTGGGCACGCTACCCACCTCTTCCTGCCTACTTTTGAATAACGTCTAATTCCAACTTAAGGGGGCTGTGCCTTAACAATTATTCCTCTGACCCCTCTCACTATTAATTTCTATTGAGTAGAACCAAAATTAGGTCTAAAACTTAATTAAAAAAATAATAGCCTTACCTTTCTTAAGATGAACTTTCTAATCAGTACAAACAGCACGCCAGACATGAAACCAGACAACAGCGGAGATATAAACCAGGAAGCAACTGAATAATCAAAAGAAAATCTAATGAGTGTTAAAATTGTACATAATTCAGGTCCTATTTATATAATACAGTGATAACCAACATATAGCACATACATTAGTCAACATTCCTGGAATTGTTCACCTTGACTCAGAACCCAACAGACCCACTGCCTTGGCAGACTGACCTCCACATAGGGGTCACCGTCCTCACAAACAGACCTCAGGCCACGGCACACACACCACCTCCCAGCTCCGGCCTCCAACGACGGTTCCTTTGATTCCCACTGAGCCCCTTCTGCCTGCCCTTCGTGCAGCCCCATCCCTGGACCACCTTCCCTTTCCATTTCCAAGGCCAGCCTGGTACTGTCACCCCGTAGCCTCTGGCTGCACACTGGAAACATCTGCAGAGTTTTCAAAAACTAGTTACGTTCTGGGTCCACCCACAGAATTCTGCTTTAAAAGGTCTGGAATGGGGTCTGGGCACTGATATCTTTAAATTGCTCTCCCAGGTAATTCGAAAGTGCAGCCAGAATCACCACTGTTCTAGAAGCCTGGGACCTCGGGTGAGTTTCCTGGGGTCAGCAGAGTTCCCTGGCAATCTGTGTCCTGCTTGCAGTTTGGGGATCCGCTTATCCTAGGCCTCCTAAGGCCACTGTGATTCGTAAAAGGATGGAGATGGGCGAGAGAGAGTGTTTTTCACAATGGGCGTGTTGGTACTTAGGGGGCTGAAAGGACTTCCCCCTTACTGAAAAAGTCAGACCCAGGAAGCAGGTTGTCAAACCCCTCTTAACAGTCCCCAGTGGGCAGCTCACAACCCAGAAGCAGCACCAGGCAGACTGGGGGTCTCCTGGATGCAGTGGGGCAAGTAGCACTCGGCTCACTTCCACGCTTCCGCATCACCAGGAACTCTGACTCCTGGACCAGGGCCCAGTTTTTCTCTGCCTACACACTAATTTCAACCAGATAAATTTCTAAATGCCCTGTGAACAACAGATACTGATTTTCAAAGCTGGATGACAATGTAGCATTTGAAAAGAGCATCTGGAGTTAAAAACTGCATAACAGTGCACAATCTCTGCTAACAGAAATTTTAAGGGAAAACGTTCACAGACCTATCCATACAGGTCTTCTAAACGTTAACACTTAAAGAAAAAAGCATAACGGTGACTTTTAATAACACTTACTCTAGAAAATGTAAACTTTCCTGCTTATAAGTGAAAGAAAATGGCAATTACCAATCTTGACCAGCTCCATCCACTGCACACCTTTTGTACCAATTGCGACGAGGGAGAATCCAATGGTGGCCCCGACAATGCAGTGAGTCCCCGAGATCGGGAGCCTCAGGAAGGATGCAATGAGCTGCCAGACGGCGGAGCCTGCGGGTTGAAGATAAAAAACAAAGACAGAAAAAAGTCAGATATACAGCGGGATGTCTCAAACAGCCACAGATGGAAGAAAGCCAAATTACCTTCTCCTTCCCAATGCCTCCCTGGGGTTAATGGTCTCTGGATTGTTTCTTTACAAAGCCCTGAGAGAAACCACTCAAATAACTTTAGCCAAAGGAACAGTCTTCAACACTGAAGGGATAATGCTGACTTATTCAAAGGAAAGTACTTGAAAGTATTTAAAGAAAAGCCCTGTGATGTCAGTTCCTAGTTGCCTTTGTCATGGTTAAGCAAGGGTGCGGGTGATGAGGTGAGTTCTGATGTGAAGTGTGGCCAGGACCAAGCAGGAGACTGAGGACGAATGAACATGGAGAAACAGGAAAGGCTGCGTATTGGAAAAGATTCTGCTGTAGTTACGCCATTCAGTCACATCATGAGGAGGCTAGATACTGCCTACGTACATTAGTCGGTACAAGAGAGAGCATAAAATACAAACATCAAATCACAATGCTGTACACCTGAAGCCAATATAATGTCACGTCGAATATACCTCAGTAAAAACAAAGAGAGAGTGTGTGTAATCCCGCATTACTTTTCGCAGTTTTGCCTCTCCTGTGAGAAGTAACTATGATATTTAACCCCACGCTGGGCATCTACCCTCAGCCCCTGCCCAGGCGGCTGGGCCCCTCCAGGCCTTCTAATTCTCAGGAATTAAGAGGATCCCTGGGTTTGGGCTTTGTGTCCTTTTACCTCAATTTCGCCACCCTTTTCTAGGCTTCGTGTTCTTCCAGGCTACAGTTCACTTCAGATATTTTCATAAGCAGATCAAGTTTTGCAGGGAGTATTAAAAGCATTGGCTGGGGAGAGGTCACTTTTGGAAACAGCCGTTGAAAAGCTCACAAAGGGCTGCAGGGGACGAAGGGCCTGGCTGACGAGCAGGGCACGGCCTTAATCCCAAGTGTTAACTCTGGAAATCTGGCTGCTTGGTAGCAGCACTTTTAAACAGACCCCTGGCATTTCCTCCAAAAACATCTGCGTCACAGAGGCTCGTGAGAGGTCGTGCAGGTCCCCATTTGTGGAGCAAGGCTGACAGCTGCTCTGGGAGCGCCAGGCAGGCTGACCTTTGCGCCGCAGCGGGCCGTGACCCCGAACCTACCCCCTGAAACGTGTGCTGGGAGGAGGAGGGCCAGCCTTGGGCTGCCAAACCGGTGACAGGCTTGATGGCAGCAACCAGGCTCCCCCGCGGGCAGTCCTGCAAGCCCGGACATCTAAGCCCTGGGCTCCTCAGGGACTAGTTGTTTTAAAAATAAAGCCAGACTTTGGAGCGTGTTTCACACCACAGAACCAGAACTTAAAAAGCAAATATTCTTACAAAAAGTAAAATACCCTAGTGATGTTAAGAGAATGGGATAAACTCACCCACGTGAATTCAGACCATGAGGTTTTCAATCCTGAAAGCCACTCTCCTCTCTCTGGCTGACTTTATAACAGGAGGGTTTGTAAGGAAAGGTAGGGGGACGGGGCTGCCTGAGAGAGGGAGGAATGGGGGGTGGGCACTGGGGAGCAGGGGACAGAGGGGAGGACGGGGCCTTGCAAGGCGAGAGTGGGCCAGAGGCCCTCCTTGACCTTGGGAATTCCTGGAGGTGAATGGGATTACATTAACGTGAAGGAAAACAGTGGGAAAAAGAGAGAGTTTAACCTAAGATAATGATGTCCTGCAGTGAAGGAGGGGATTAAGCACAGGATGAGGCTGCCAGACAAAACCTGGGGAAAGTGGAGGTTAAGATGGGTGTCTGAGGCCACAGGCTCCTGGAGGATGAAAGAACGGCAGAGAAGGTACAGGTTACGCGGAGGCAAAGAAGACTCAGCACTTCCTAGGGTGGTTCCAGGAGATGGCTCGGTCGTGCTGTCGTGGGTATTTCCACGAAAAGATGGCGCGTTCCGAATTCTCAGTGGATTTTGGAAACCATTGGCGGTTTCATACTAAGTGGATCGACTGTTGCTTTAGGGCTGAGCTAGAGTCCCCAGAGGTGCCTTGTTCAGGAAGCGTGGCTGGCATGAACAATTTCTTCTACCCAATCAACTTAACACTACCGCAACTTTACCAGCAAGCACAGAGACTCATGGGCTTGGGGTGAAGATTATAAAGAAAAAAGAGAAAAAAAATAAAGAGATGGGGAGAAAAGGGACAAAGAAAGGGATGTTGACTTTAAAAGAGGAAGATTGGGAGAACTCAGGCATCTGAACAGAATCATCTCGGTTTGGGCCAATCATGATTATACCACCATCCTAAACTTCCCCAGTTCCCATGTACAAGGAACCCAATTTTAAAAGTCTAGGTAACTCTCACCAATTCCCAACAAAATAGGCTTTGAGATTCTTCTAACCACACACCAAAAAAAAAAAAAAAAAAAAAAAAAGACACCAAAGCAAACCAAATCAAGTTATTCAAGCAAAAATCCCCAAATGCTTTGGTTGACCTAAATTCTAGTGGAGGTAAGTATCCTTCATTCTTTGAGTGTAGAGACCAAGGCCAGGGGTGGGAAAGCCCCAAAACTGGACAACTTATGCTGTCTACACGGCAAGTTAGTGGTGTCGTGGAGCTCAGCCCGCAGGCCTTCCGTCCACCCAGGGCCCTGGGGCAGCCTCACAAACAAACCTCCTCAGTAAGCACCACCACTCCCAAAGGGCTCATCCAACTCAAGGAGGAACCTCTGTTAAGATTGAACTTCATCACTGTAGAGCACAGGGAACTCTACTCAATCCTCTGTAATGACCTATATGGGAAAAGAATCTACAAAAAGAGCCGATATATGTATATGTATAACTGACTCACTGTACACCTGAAGCTAACACAACATTGTAAATCAACTACACTCCAATTATAAAATTAAAAAAAAAAAGATTGAACTTCATCAGTGTTTTTCTTCATTTCTCCTCTACTTTCAATATATCTTGTCCGCATCATACCGACTGGCAAAATCTTAATTTCCTCTTGATATGATTATGTCTTAGATATTGATCATGACTATTGAGGGTGAATTTGACAAACAACTGTCAAACTGTCAGGGAAACGTCAATTATACCGGACTGTGATGAGAAGTACATGTTCAGTGAAGGTGAAAATTCAATCATTACAGTAGCTGTTGTAGTAAATGATTTTTAATTCTTAAAAATAATGATGAATTAAAGTCATCATGAGCCTTACATCTTTCACACAACATGTGCAGCTGACAAAGAGGAACTCCTCAGCACATATGACCAGCTTACTGTGCTTTAGTAGTATTTAATTCCTTACTGAGGACATCCATCTTCCAACCAAAGGCCTCAACTACTCTACTTCTCAAACTAACCCGCTGTAAAGAAAAGATGATGGGCCACCTTAAACCTGGCAAATGACCTGCACATTCTGGGGGCTTAAGAAGTGCTGGCGGTGGTAAACCCCTGGGGATCCGTGGGATGTAGCCGTGTTCTTGGTCCACCGGCATCCAGCCTCCCGGTGCAGGGCTCTCCCCACAAAAGCACGTGCCCTGTTGAAAGCAGAAGGTGACAGGACTCCCTTCTCCCACCTCTCCCCCACTACCCGTGTAGACACGCCATCTGCTGTGCATCACCTCGACCTAGAGGCAAGCAGAGGAGGAGCTTGTCGGCTGCACCTAAGGCCCTGCTGCCCGAATCTTCCAGCTCAGTGAGGGCAGCGCCCACGGTGCTGCCAGTGTGGAGTCGCCTCAGGCAGGGGAGGAACCACACGCCCGACACCACCAATAAAAGGTCCTACTGCAAACAGGTGACATACAAGTGATCTTCCGGTGGAAAACGAAACAAGCATACTAGGGCTTCCCTGGTGGCGCAGTGGGGGCTTCCCTGGTGGCGCAGTGGTTGAGAGTCCGCCTGCCGATGCAGGGGACACGGGTTCGTGCCCCGGTCCGGGAAGATCTCACATGCCGCAGAGCGGGGCTGGGCCCGTGAGCCATGGCCGCTGAGCCTGTGCCTCTGGAGCCTGTGCTCCACAACAGTGAGAGGCCCGTGTACCACAAAAACAAACAAACAAAAAAAACAAGCATACTAGATGGAGCTCCCAGGGGTGGAATCAGAAAATCCAAACAAACACTAACAAAAGGAAGACAAATGACAGAGAAGACCAGAATTTCTTGAAAACACAGTCACTTAAGAGTCAATTGGTAACTGCTTTAAAACTTCAACGGAGAATACAGAAGTTAAGCTAATAAACACTGTTTTGGAGCAACCAAGTTTTCAAAACATTACTTCCTAACTGATGGAAAATCTATGAAAAAATAGAAATGAACCTTCAAGGTTTATAAATAAACCTAAGTAAACCTCTCAAACACATTCACTTAGACGTGTTCTTTCTTTAATAACTTTCAAACAGCTTTAAAATGACAAAGAGCTATGCTACAAATATCTTTTTCTGGACTTTATGAAAAGCACTGACTTAACCAAAATCTATTTGGACAAGCAAGTCTGCCATACATTCAAGGAAAGAAATGGTTGCTTGATATTTGAACACTGACCAAAATGATAACTGAATTAAAACACAGAGAGCACAAATAAGGTATAGTAAATGAGAAATCTGAAAAAGTATACATACATATATATATGGCTGAATCACTTTGCTGTACACCTGAAACTAACACAACATGGTAAATCAACTGGACTTCAATAAAAAAAAAAAAGAACCATCAAACCAGTTTTTGAAAAGTTAAAACAAAAATCTCATTTATGTATATGAGAAATGGGTCAGTGGACACATTCCCACAGGTGGAAAGACGAGGCTACTTACCGACCATGGCACTGACCTCCCCGGCCATGAGCGTCTCCACAGTGTGGTTGTACAGGTTCACGTCAATGATGCCTTTCCGGATGGTCTCTCCGACTTTGGCCCCCAGTAACACCGAACCGGTGGTTTCAAAGATTGAAGCCAGGATGCAGGCCTGCCTCAGGGTCACCACGCCCGAGCCCACGGCGGTACCAAACGAATTGGCAACATCATTGGCACCCACGGAAAATGCCAAGATAAAAGCTATGAAAAAACCCAAGATGACCATCCACAGATACTCATCTGCGGCCATTTTGGAAAGGGGGTTCCGGGTACTTTTCTTTTGCAGAAGTATTTGAAAGGTTGAGGTTCAAACGTCGTCAGGCCGAGAGTTCTCGTAAACAATGAGTCTGCGCTGGAAAGTGCCGGATGATGCTGGAGCTGCACAAACTGCTAGCTGCTGGCTTTCAAACTACTGTCAGGACAGTTCATTGGGTTGTGTTCAGTCAGCGGTAAAACACATTCCATATTTTCCTTCCCAGTCTGGGGAAGCTGTGAGATCTCCCCCTGTAACAGGAAGAAGACAAAAGAGATCAATTACCCTGAGGAACCGGTGACAACAGTTTGTTCTTTCAGAAAGAAATGTTTGGAAACTGCTGATAGGATCTCACGCTGCCATGTGGCAGATCTGACCATACAGCAACGCAAGGAAGATGATAATCAGGCTACCTGCCCAGCCCACCCCCAGGAAAGCTGATTCTAGAACGTCACAGGGTGAAGCTGCTTCATGATCACAGGTAGGAAGTCTTAAGAGGATACATTTTTATGCAATTGGAAAAATATATGTGGTCTTTATTTTAGAAAGAAAAACTTGCCTTGGATGAGCAAAAGATAAGGAAACGAGAAATTCAGAGTTACCGCGTTCCTCAAATACGTGGACCGCGCCTGATTTCTGGGAACAGGATGACCCGATGTGGCTGTGACACCGTGGGGTGTGGCAACTGTCTACCTGACCATTTGCACACCCTGAGCTTGGCAGACCCGGGTCAGACACAAAGTGACTCCTTCAAAAGATGATAGGATGGGAACTGAAGGGGCTCCCGGGGGACAGGGAAGCTGGAGCGAAGCGACCCTGTCAGAGCAAGAAGCAGATCAGGTCACTACGCCCTGTTTCCCACTTCACTCGGGGAACAGTCAGAGGCCTGACCATGGCCTGGGAGGCCCTCCCAGATGTCCTTGGGGCTCCCCCCCAGATCTCGGGGCTCCCCCACCAGATCTCCTCGGGGCTCCCCACCAGATCTCCTCGGGGGTCCCCCACCAGATCTCCTCGGGCTCCCCCGCCAGATCTCCTCGGGCTCCCCCCAGATCTTGGGGCTTCCCCACCAGATCTCCTCGGGCTCCTCCACCAGATCTCCTCGGGGGTCCCCCACCAGATCTCCTCGGGGCTCCCCAACCAGATCTCCTCGGGCCCCCCCACCAGATCTCCTCGGGCTCCCCCCAGATCTCGGGGCTCCCCCACCAAATCTCCTCGGGCTCCTTCCCCACCAGATCTCGGTGCTCCCTGACCAGATCTCATCGGGCTCCTCCCCCACCAGATCTCGGGGCTCCCCACCAGGTCTTCTCGGGGCTCCCCCCAGATCTCCTCAGGCCTCCCCACCAGATCTCCTCGGGCTCCCCGCCTGACCTCCTCGGCCGCCCCCCCAACCCCGCCCGGGCTCACTGACCTCAGCCCCTGCCCACCCCCTCCCCTCACTGGCTCGCTCACCTCAGGCCCTTTGTACCTTCTGGTCCCTCTGCCAGAAACAGCCTGTCTGATGGCTGCACAGCTCATCACCGGCTCCAACTCCCTCTCTGCCCAGATGTCACCAGAGCAGCCCTCCCTGACCCTGTCGAAGAGCACCCCGCATGCCATTATCCCTCCCTCTCACCTGACCTTTTGTCTTTTCTACTGACCACCTCATCATTCATTCACTCACTCACTCCTGTCCGGCCCCTCACGGGACGCAAGGACTTTGCTGTGTCTCCAGCACACAGACTAGCACCTGGCACGGGGTAAGCCCTAATCAAGTTGTTGAATAAGTGAAGAAAGAAGCTATTAAACAAATGAAATAACTCTTGCATAGGCTTCCTCCTGGGATGAAGATGTGACATCACAGAATTAATACATATGTGAAGTAAAAAGGTCACTAAAAGCCTCAGAACGGTGGTGTTCTATTATTATATGGTCAAAGTACCACATCTGTGTAGTTCCTTTGAGCGGTTCTAGGCATCGGGAATGGTGCCCATAAATGCTAACTGAACTGAATGAAACAGGCTCATACACCACGTCATACACAACATAATGATCAATCAACATTAAGGTTATTTAGAGGGAAAAGAGCAGGACATAAAATTTATGTACCTGTGATTGTGGCAACGTTAAAAGGCATATAAAAGACCAAAAGGTAATCACTAAAATTGTAACAGTGGTTGAGTTTAAGAAGCAGTGTCAGAGATCATTTTTTCCTTTCCTCCAAAAACTGTATACCATGGTGATGTGCTTTTCAAATTAAAATAATACATAAAAAACAAATCAATAAACGTATATTGAGAACCATCTTTTTAAAAAATATAATTCACTAAAATGTGGTGAGTACACGTGCTGGGAGGGCAGTGTAGGCAATGCTACAAGGCACACGATGAAATAAAAAATGTGCCCTGACCACCTTCTCATTTTCTAAGCTTCGTGGTCCACGCAATTCTGGAGATTCTGGGCCCGACGGAGACATGGGAAAAGACCACTCTAAAGGCAAGAGACAACGTTCTATAAATGAAAATACAAAATTAAACCATTCTGGACCAATATCATCTATCTTAAAATATAAGAGAATTCTAGATGAAAGTTCATCTGTCAGGTTAGGTGGCCCAGAGGGCCAACAAGGACAATGCCCAACAGATATTTACTGCAGGCCCCCGCCTGCCCGTCACGAGGAAGATGCTGAGTGATGATGGACGGGGTCCTGCACGTGCGGAGCTCCCCTCCAGGGAGGGAAACAGATGCTCATCGACAAACACACGTCAGACCATCAGCTGCAGCCGATGCTGCGGAAGCAGGAGGCTCTCGCTGCACGTGCGGCATCACGAGCACATGATGGGGGCAAGGCCTGGTCTGCGCGGGCAGGAGAGGGTCCCCTGCCATCTAAGGATGGGGGGTCAACCTGCGACTGGGGGAGGCATTCCAGGCGGTTCCCAGCTGGGAAGGAGCGGGACGAGGGGAGGGGACCGGTGGCAGCCGGGGTGGGGGGCCCACGGTGGAAGCTGAGCTGGACCATATTAAAGACTGTGGTCACCGACTAACAACAGGGGGCGCTGAAAGGGTGCTGTCACGCTCAGACCCTCCTTCTGGGAGGCCCCCTGGCCACAGTGGGAAGAGAGAACAGGATGGAGGCCAGGGTGGATGTGGGGAGACTGCCTACAAGGCCCCTGCTCGGTGCAGATGGGGTGTCCTGGGCCCAGGGCAGGGGTGGTGACAGGGGAAGAGAAGTGATGCAAAGAAGCCAACCATGGCGTTGGCTTGTCAACAGCGGTGGAGAGGGGAGAGCTGGCGCCTACCTGTGGAGCTGGGCTGAAAAGTCACTGAGCAGGGTGTGTTTTCCCTTCTGCACTGTACTTGGTTTTGTTTGTCAGTGGCAGGATGGTGTCTGAGCACAGCTCGTGGCTGGACACGGCACACACAGGGGTGAAGGCAGCTCAGCAGCGATGCCCTCAGCCCAGCTTTGCTTGGAGTGAGGCTTCTCATTGTCTTTATGGTCCCCCTGGCACCATTTCAGAGCAGGGATTCCCTCTCCTACTTAGATGACCTTAGATAACTTATCTCCACAACTGTGTCTATGTTTTCTCCTTCACACTCAAACCCTCAGCCAACCAGCTGAAGTGCAAAAGCAGCTGGTTGAGGAGAAATGCTTTTGCCCCTTTTCTGAGCCCAGATGATTTCTATCTTGCATGATATTTACCCGGCCAGTTTCTTATTGCAAGTACCAACACCCTGACTTTCTCCATTGATTTTTATCAAATGTGAGCAAAATACAGAGCTTAAATAACCACACAATCTGCTCTATGGAAAAAGATAGCAACGCTGCTGAGACCGAGCCCTCGGCGGGCCAGAGGACCACTGTGCAGGAGGCCACGGTGGAAGCTTGCCAAGAACACGGCCCAAATTCAGAGCGGCTGAGGCCCGACCAGGACGCCGTCGGGGAGTGCTGGTGTCTGAAAGTAGGATTTTGAAGGGAGGCGATCACATCAGTGGGGAAATCTGACTTATTCAATAAATGATGCTGGGACAACGTGCTAGCTGCTAACTATCTGGAAGGAAGAAAAAAGTGAGACCCCTACCTCACACCAAGTTAAAGATGGAAAGAATCAACACATGTGAGTTCACGGGAATCCTGCAGCTGGAGACAGAGGAGTCTGAGGTGTGGAAGCATCGCTCTGAATGAGCCCTCCTCAGGGACCCTGAGCTGAGGCTTATAGATTCTCTACTTCCACGAGCATCTGCCTCAACTCTCCCTAACACCCTCTTCTCCACCCTAGAAACAGGAATGTTAAAGGAAGGGTGAAAACAAACGTTCTCAGGATATTTCTAGTCACGTTTGTATGCTGTTTAAAAACAGCATTGTTGCTGAGTTGTAGCACTTAATAGACATTTGTGCACAGAGGAGCTTGGGTGGGAGGGTCCTGCTCTGAAACGTTGCCAAAGGCGACACCCGAGGAGACCCCTGACCCTTCCAGCAAAGGTGCTGCTCCAGCCCCCCTCCACCCTGCACACCCCTCCCCCCAGCCTGGGGTCTAACCATCTCCCCAGTCCGGCTACCAGCCCCAGACAACCAGGTCGGTGGCAGACTGTGGCCTGTTCAGGAGCTCAGACCCACGCAGAAAAGAATCCCAAAGATGACTTTTGGCTTCTTCCCCAAGCACACACCTATTTTCATCAATTCATGTGCCAATTTCAAACTCAGCTTTTTAAAGAACACCTCTCATCCTGAAGGATGCTTGCCGAGCTGCCCTTACATTTCACCCAATAACTTCGCAGTCCTTCTCCTGTCCCTATGATGCAGAAGGAATTCAATACATCTATAAAATGTCTTATTTCCTGGGTCTGCTAGGAAACAGTGTAAGTAGGGCAAGGTCCTACTTGATGAGGCTTAATCTCATTTACTGACATGAGCTGAGTAATAATTGATAGCTGCTTACATCCTCCAGCTTGATACACTCTAAAGCAGATACGAGGAGGGCATCCACTGTGCTGCTTCTGGGCTGCGCGGCTCTTTTCCCTGACACTCACGGGCCACAGCCAGGCCAGGCCCCCCCTTTGACAGATGACGGGAAAGAGCCAGGTCCCCCATGCAGAGAACCTGGGGCTCTGAAGTTATTTTCCAACACCTCCCCTGAGGCCCAAGTGCTTCACACACACCCTCTGAAAATGTACCACCTGCTCTCCCGGAAACCGGGGCTGGATCTTGAATTCTGACACTTAAGTCGAAATATCTCTTCAGGGGCACGATGTAAAGTCCAGTAACCCTCTGCTACATGTGGGTGAGCCTGACTAGTAAGACAAAGAAACTACTAGCTTTTCCTGGTAATATTTAAATAAAACGGAAGATTCACTTTTGGAATCTTATGACTTGTGGAGAACAGTACAGCAGAAACATTTTTCTTTCACCATTCAGGATGCAGATCTTGTCATAAGGAGTTTCTATTAACAACATCATTCTTTTTTTTTTTTTTAACATCTTCATTGGGGTACAACTGCTCCACAATGGTGTGTTAGCTTCTGCCTACAGCATCATTCTTGAATAGCTCACGGAAACACCGACTGCAAACGCTTAAATGTTAAAAAGACAGTTTAAAAAGTAATAGTATATTTAGGGTAGAAAACGCTGAGTTTCATATTTTCACACGAATGATAAAAAGTGGAAACATTACTAGAATGGGTCTGAAACTGGCCTCTGCCCCCTTTAAACAGTATATTCACAGATAAGCGGAGCGGCCCTGGGAGCAGAGGTGCCTGGAGAAAGGCAGGTGGATGCTGTTCTGCTGACGGCAGAGGCAGGGGGACGGGCAGAGGGGACGAGGAGGGGAGAAGAGGGAGAAAAT